CCAGGCTCGCGATAGAGACAACAAAACAAACTGATTTCCCTCATTCAGGATTCTGAATTTATTTTTCAGAATGCTTTTGTTGCATAAAAGTTATCTCCTCTTGAGTGAACAGCCTCAACAAGCGTCTCAGAGAGGTATATCTTGATAACTTCAATATTTGAAACGTCTAACCTGAAGTTGACGACAAAGTAAGGTAGGCAGTGACAGGAGAGTTTACCGGTTGTTGAAAGCACTTATAATTATCTATCTTTTTGAGTAAAATGAACGGCAAATCCCACGGGCACAGCTTTAACTCGTGATTAGAGTTGTTCAGCTCTCAAAAGAGATATGTTTACCTGTAATTGAAGTTTAGACTTTTTGAGAAACTGTAGATGCGTACGGTATACATTATAAAATACTCGCAGAAGTTTTAACTAAATGGGTGACATGAAGAGAGGGGGAAAAAAACAAATGAAAACGAGAAAAAAAGGAAAGAACAAAACGCATAATGCATGAGTATTAAATCAGATTGCTCCTTATCTCTATACGTTTCTATTTCTCCCACCCCATTAAATCAATCTGACTGCATTTGTCTGAATCTCAGAAACAATGCCCGTCAATTGCATCACGTGATCTCCTTGATCGGAGCAAAATTAGGACTCCTTAAATCCAGCCTGACCTTGCCCAATAATCAATTCCAAACTTGCCTCGAAAATGGAGATCTCACTTAGCAAAAAATGAATGTCACTAGGATTTAGTTAAGTTTCATCCAAATCAAACTTAACCCTCTATGACATAACGTAAGGAATTCGTAACAACGTATTTCCGGGATTTTTAAAAATTGAGTCTTTCCCCTGTGCCATGATTTTGCAAAATTTCATCAGTTTTTTCTTTTTTTGAAACATTGATTTTCTTTCAACTTTAACATTTTGAAAAAATAAATTTGGTACTCTATTTTTTTATGCAAGCTACAAAATAGATTAGTGTCCCCTGGAATCTGAGGTCCAAAATTAACTGATGCCATTGAGGGTTAAATAAAAGTAATTAAGCTATCAAAACGCTGATAAATTCTTATGGGCTTTCTGTAATTAGAACGAACCTCTTCTGTGATCAACTATGAGGAAAAAAAAGAAAATCCCCTCAAACGCTATTAGAATGGATCCAACCATGGGTGCTTTAATATCGTAGCACTGTATATCTCCGGCAGATATACTTATTCAAACTCCACCTTCAGCACCGAAAAAAAAATTGGATTCCGAACCAGGTTGTCGAATGGAAAACGTTTTCAAGCGAAAGTATTTACCATGATTTAAAAGAATATAAAACGGAATCAATCCAAATAAAATTTTTCCTTCAAAATCTGCCTACCTCTGAAAAAATGGGAATTCCTCTTTGCCGTGGAAGAATGTCTTACAGGGTAACGCTCATCCTCATGTTTTACCTAATTTTTTTTCTTCGTATCCAAAATTGAAAAAAATGGACACGAATTGTGTTTATTTTGAAAACTTACTAACTCTAAATCATCAGAGCGATCATATGTATCATCAAGGATTGAAAAGTTTTGCATATTTTTGGATAGCAGACCCTTCTTGCGACTGATTAATATGCACCAAAAACGATTTCTATCATTTATCGAGTATTTTAAGTTTGAATTCAATTTTTATTACAATTTTCTGTATGAATTCCTGTCTTACCCGGAGTTGGACACTTATTTGTTGGGACCACCATTTTAATTACGAGTAACTCAATTACCCACAGTCCGACTTCCTCTCGAAACAAGTATATATTCACCTCGTAGCCGTTTTTCATCCGACGTTTAAGTATATTTGACTCAAAGACAACTTTTTTTCAGTGCACATTTGAAACCAACGACCGTCACATTCAAGGTTGTAAGACGATGGTTCGAAGCCAGGTGGCGACACGAGATAATTAATTGAACTGTCATCGAAGCGCAGCACTGCACACGTAAGAACAGTGGCAGTGTTTGACCGTTGTAAGAAAGTCAAGAAATTACATCATGCATGCGATAGCGCCCGAAGGAATCTGGAAAACTAACCTTCCTCTCCAAGTAAAAAAGGCACGATCGGACTCAGACCGATGCTAAGGAAGAACGCCGTATGAGCCATCAGACATTGCCAAGTTGCTTTCGATAAAATACGAATTTATTGGAAAAGTTATGAATATTTTTATTCCAATTTTTCGGACAATATTATTCGCAGTTTAATGTACAACATCTGAAAATTTCAAGGAGATTCATACATAAATTCCTTTCGAAATAAACCTTTTATTGGAGGAAATTTGGCAACTCTCGAATGTTCATACGACGTTTTTCCTTGTCACGACAGAATAGGCGTGTTCGCCAGTTTAAAGATCTTAATCCAAATATGCATATGTACGATTTCGGCGTTGGATGTGGCGATGCCATTTCTTCTTAAGCGGTGCCATTGTTCTCTTGGAAGAATGCACTTGTATGTACTGCCGTGCTGGGGAAAATCGCCGTATGAAAATTCGAATGTTGTCAAATTTCTCCTTATAAAACAATGATTTAGAAAGAAAGTTATGCATTTTTTAAATTCCCAGATAATTCAGATTAAATTGCGTAAAACACTGTCCGAAAAATTGTGAGAAAATATTCACAAATTCCCTAATAATTTCGCATTTTAAAGAAAATTTGGAAACGCCCGAAGCTTCAAACGCCGTTTTTCCCTAGCACTACAGGATACGACTATTTTGTGTCAAAACATCGTATGAGATTTTGAATGCTGCACGATTTGCCATGATACAACATTAATTTTTGGAAAAGTTATAAATGTTTATATTTAAAAGTTTCTGATGAGGTAGAATAAATTACGGGCGAAAGCCCTGGGAAAATTCAAGAGAAAATATTCCCGAGTTTTCGAGAAAATTTGAATTTTAGCAATAGAAACTTGGCAACATCCAAATAACCGTACGGCGTTTTCCCGTAGCACAGTAGTGTAAGTCGATCTAGTTCGCTATTGTGACACACGGAGGTAGTTGAAAGAAAAAGTAGCACATGGCAAATTTTTTGCGAAGTGCGTCAGTTGCACGTGTCGCAGTATTAAAGTTCGATCCTTCGTTATCATAGATGAGCAAAAAATTACATGAGCTGCATATAAACTTTTAACGTTGAAGAGTAACAGAGATATCACCTTTGCAGAGACTTGGTTGATTGTACCATGGTTTCCTCAGGTCAGTGAGGTTGGCTGCGACCACCATTCCGCACAAAATCTAATTTTGCGGCGGAAATCTGCAATATTTGCTAACTTCTTCCACCTTCACCTCAAGTTTGTAAAACTTTCATTGGCCACCATTTAGAGGAGGTAATAAATAGAAACTTGCACTTTAGACCGAAAGTCTGCATTGTTCCAATTAACTGAAGTGGGTTGCCATTTAAGAAAGCTAAATTGCTGCCTCGAACTTTTTGGAGGTTCTAAAAATACAAGTGTAGTTATCTTATTCACCCGGGAGTACTTCTGAAATGTCGAGTCAGATTCCAAATTTGATTTGACCAAAAGTTTACTGGAAACTTGGGGACTTTTCAGACACCTTGAATACATATTTTGGAAATTCAGAGAGCCATTTTACCAATTATTGGTGTTAAGACTGAGGTTAGAAATACACGATCTACACAGTCATGTATTTTACAACATAGTTCAGGGTTAAATGATTTAATTCTGTATATATATTGCCTTCATCGTCTTTCGTTCTTCTCTTGTCTGGCAAACTAAGGCATAAAATCTAAAAAATTTAGGCCTGATTAAATTTGAAAAAAAAAGTCCGAAGACCTTTCCCAGGGCTTACACGGAGGGCTAAAAGAAATAGAAAATACAAATGAAAAGAAATGAAATAGGGTGCGATACTTGAGGGGAATAATCATTAAACTTGTTCTGTCTTGCAAAACTGCATCAGCAGATAGTGGCTAACACGACCCCGCGTAAGGTTATCATTCTCTGTTTTACATCGAATTTCCATTCTGCATGCCTTATCCGAATTAACTGTCACTGCATTCCTTGCCTAAAAAACTACCTCAACGAGGGGTGTCGTTTCCATCGACGAGTAGGCGTTTCGCTAATTCTCTCATTTGCAATTTACCTCCAGGCAAATGAACTTGCTAAATCAAGTGGGCATGGCTAATGTATTCCAAAATTCTCTCTCGGAAGAAAAGCCACGCCTTTTTATTTCAATAAACGCGTGATAAAAGTGAGAGCAAGAAAGTAAATGTAAATTATACGATTTACGACCGACTTTGGATATTTGAATACAATTTCCCAAGCTGGTTCGACAGCCTTTTTTAAGAAGTTGCACTTGAAGAATCTTCGAATGAGGTGATTGTGATGTAAGCCGTGCGGGAAATTCGGGATGTGAACCTACTGAAATTAAGTATTTTCGCCATTTTGGACTAAACAAAAGTTACCGAGCCATACTTATGATTTCAAAATTCTGGCATGAAAAGTGCTTTACGGCGATAAAGCAAATTTATGAACTAACCAATTTCGGAGTGACGCACAGCCGAGCAATGTAAGTCAAGTAGTGTCAAATTTCGTGCGCAGTGTCAAAGGAAAAAGAAATACTCGTATGTCGTCACCTTCCAGGCAAAGTATCACAAGCGCCATGCGAGGTTTAAAAATTTCCGCCGCCATTTTATTTTTTTACAGAGAAATTGTTCAACGAAGCTGTCCGAAAATTTCACTGAATTTTCTTTGTGCTGCCGATAAAATTTAGTGAAATTTCCGAACAGATTCAACCAACAATTTCTCAGTAAAGAAATAAAATGGCGGCGGAAATTTTTAAACGTCGCATGGCGCTTGTGATACTTTGCCTGGAAGGTGACGATGTGATTCGACATGGGCCAAGTGACAGAGAAAATTTAGGTAATATGTTGATAATTCTAAAACCACGCGTCCAAAATCGCGGAACTATCCGCCTAGCGCGTCGCCATCATTTCAGAGGCAACATCATGAAGGGATTCGTGTTTCATAATATTCAAGGAAGCTCAATGATAAAAATTGTAATCAATCTTTATTTAAATATAATAAAAAATAATCAATGAGAATAATATCAATGTTTCAAAAATCGCATAACAGGTAAAAATAGCAAGTATCAAATAGTCAAAAAATAAAATAATCAATAATAAAAATAATACGGCGTACAGCCCTCCCTCAAGCCCGCCTTAGGGGAAAGGAGGAGACCTTAGCCGGGCCCCACAGAATCATGGTACATGAAGAATAGTTGGTATAGACAACACCGGGCATCCGCCGTTGGTTTGCAATTTGGATACGTGACTATGGACTCAATTTTTAGAGAGAACTTGTATAGAAATAACTTCAGGAACAAATCATGCATAATATTTGAACTCCTCAAGTGAATCAAATCGTTTAATTTAGGCTTTAAAAAATAAAAATCTATGACATGAGTAGTATGTTGCTTCACTGAGGATGTGTAACTCACTAGCAAATCTGAGTGAAGATGAGAAATTCTCTCAGCTCATTTGAGAAAAAAATCGCCGAATACGCCAAAGACAAAACCGGAGATACGGAGATTTGGAACGTCATAGAAAATACGAGGACTAATACGTTCACTGTTAATGTTCATTGTGTTCATTAAAATGAAACTTTATAATGGAAAGAGGTGTGGAGTCAAAAGTGAAAAGGAGCGTTACGTAGTACTTAGATGTCAAATAATAACTTGAAATTAAACCTGAAATGAAAACTTGATTTTGGCTACTATTTTCATATTCAGTGGAGGAGTGAAAAAGGAAGAAGCCCGGCACGCTCTACACATAGAGACAGCGAAGAGGGTGATTGGGAGTGGGAGTTATGGATTAGTATTCGGTGACGTCATAGGGCACTCATAAAAATTAGCTGAGGCTTTGTACATGTTTTCAATTTCTTAATTTAAGACATGCAGACTGATAAGATATAGAGAACTTAATTTCAAGCATTTGGTGGCCTGCGACAATATTTTGATACATCGGCCGTTCTGTATTGTGTGATGTAAAATTTGGGCCCTTTAACTATAGTTAATACTACAATAAGTTCTCACTGTAATTTAATGATGTGAAATGTCTACTCCCAAATTGTATTTTTCCCAGAAAAGTCTTGCGCGCTTCTGCCCGAAAATTTCACTGATTTGTTCTCTGATTACACTAAAATTATCAAAATTGAGGATAGAAATTGCATTCAAATTTCTGTAAAAAATTGAGCCGATTGCGTCAATTTTGGAAAATCGCAAAGGAGTTAAGCCCTCCATGGCTCTCCATGTACCGACCCCGACGTCCGGATCAAATCATTTGAGTGAGGAAGTTCTTCACCGGGATAACGAATCCGAGACGGAGGGGTCCCTCGGGGGTTGGGGCGACGGCGGCGGCGTGGTGGTGGGGGTGCGGGGGGTTCGCGGGCGGGGCTGGACGACTTTGGACTAGATTTCGCTGAGCGGAGATCAGGAGTTGATCCTTGGTGTGGCGCTTGACGTGCTTGGCCAGGTGGTCCGAGCGCATGAAGCGCCGCGCGCACACCTCGCACCCGAACTTCTTCTCGCCCGTGTGCGTCCTCTTGTGACGCGAGAGCTCGTCCGAGCGGGAGAAGCGACGCTCGCACCCCTCCCACTGACACACGAACGGCTTCTCACCTGCAACAAAAAAAGCACAACTTCATTAATATAGGTTGGAAATTTTGGCAAACGTGCGTTATAAATCGGCATGAAGCTAGAATTCTCAATACAGAGGGAAAAAGCTGATTTGAGCACAATTTTTCCTCGAAGGGATACGCTGTTTGGTGCAACACTAGTAATAGGAAGGTAACTGCAGACGCGTTGCAGGTCTATAGACGCTATTAGTGGCGACGTCATCATAGGGATTCTCCATTATATCGAATTGGATCCAAACAATAACATTGGCATAACCTCTTTCAATGCTACCAGTGCGAAAAAATCGATATATATCGCTTTTCTGTGACGTTGCACTAATAGCGTCTATTGGACCCATCCTCAGTGCAGCGCAGCCTCCTGAATTTTTATTTGTTTTAATAGCTTAAATTTATAAAGCATAATACTGAAGCTATTAAGATAATTAAAAATTTTACCAAGCTCGGAGGGGCCGTGAAAACTAGCCCGTGACTTTAACATAACTTCCAGCGGGCCGATTATTGAAACTTACAGACAAAGACGACAAAAGGGATTTGGAGGAGGTGGTGGCAATGGACATAGGAGGAAGGTAATGGACTAACTAACGGCAACCCACTAAAGACCCGACAGTTAGTCCATCATTTTCTTCCTTAGTCTATGAGAACCAACCATGTCAACCAATAGGATCGCTCCATACTTCCTATGTCTTCTTTGCCTATCACTTTGTCCATCAGTTTCAATAATCGGCCCGCAGGAGTAACTCAGAAACCGGCAATTATCGTTCAATTCAAGTTCGCCTTCAATATCGCGCATAGGCAACAAACAAAAACGTTACCATTTAAATATAACTTCCGGGAGTAACTCAGAAATCGGCAGTTTTCGTTCACTTTAGGTTCGCCTTCAATTTCGCGGATGGACAACAAACAAGAGCGCAACTACTTTAATATAGCTTCTAGGAGTAACTCAGAAATCGGCAGTTTTCGTACACTTGAATTCGCCTTCAATTTTGCCGCATAGGCAACAAACTTACCGCAGAGCTCGAATAGTTGCCTGTTCGAAAACTGCACATTTATCTCGCTCCTCAAACTTTGATAGCCAATGGATAAACTGAACAAAAATGCTTTATTGCTTCATTCACAAGTACTTAGTGGCGACAAATGTCGGGATAAAGGCCCAACAAATCTTGTGAAAAAGGCCGAAAAGGAATGAGAGCTAGAATTTAGACGCGGACTGTATTTTTAATTTGAGAAAGGCGACCAGGCTGCGCGGAGCCGGCTTCGGATCGAATCTGGATTGTTACGGAAAGGGGAAGGCTTTAACCTTGATTCCTAAATGAACACTTGGCGAATGATGACAAAAAAAGTCACTGATTTGATATTATTTTCCATGATTTTTACTGATATCGGAAACAGTAAAATAATAAACCTAGAATTTAGAAAATGCACCGGCTTGCGAGGCATCTCCCATTTGAACACATAAATTTTAGAAAATTATATAATTTTGTCATATTTTGTCTAGTAACTTTTCAATTTAGAAACCATGGACATATTTGTGCTTATTCACCTAGCAGTTCCACCTTCAACATGTACTAAATCAAATCAGACACCTGCAATTCTCCATTGATAATGTTGTAAACTCATCAGAACTTTTCTTTTATCCGAAGTTTGCCTTCAATTTCGCGCATGGGCAACAAACATACCTCAAAGCTCGAATAGTCACTTGTCCCGAGAACTTTCCTCGCTGTCATCGTCCCCTAAGGCGGAAAAACCTCAATCTTTTGCCTTGGTAGACTTTTTATTTGTAAAATTTTCTCGAAATTTCTCCTCAAAATGACTCTCCGCAGGTCTTTATACCTTCGTTTGATGACAGAATCAGTTATGCTAAATCTTGGTGATACCTAATAATAACCAGGTTTTGAACCGACAATTGTCGTTTCTTTCAGAAAGATTTTTAGCGGAGATATTTTTAGCCCGCCACACTGCTCAGCATTGAGGATAACTATAAGTACTCCCTTCTAAATGCGCGGAAAGTGTATTTGAGCTTTTTTCTGCTTCGCGCGGTCATGACAAACCATCGAAACCTTTCCTGAGCCTCTCATCGACTAATGGTGTACTTCGACCGTAATCCCTGAAATTTTAAAATCCTAGAACACCTAGAACCTCTGTTGATTACGCACAAGGAAAAACGTCTATCGGAAGCTGTAAGTTCCTGAGGGAATATAATGTAATTAGCAGCCCCTCACCTCTCGAAAAAACAAAAAATTACTATAATTAACGAACTTCAATTTCGGAACCCTAATTGCCGACAAAATAGCAGAGGGTAAGATTGCATGAAATTGCGTACTACGCACCACATCGGAGCCACGCTGTTAATGGACACACTTTTCAGGTAAATTCTTCTGTCGCACAATGGATCGAGTCAATAGGTGAGGTCGGACAAAGTTTGATATCTTTCAACGTTTGTAACTCCGTTTGTACAAAACTTTGAGGTTCTAAAAAAGGTTCCATTAGCTTCCACGTGAAATTTTCTTTAAGAAACACCCCTTACAGTTTGTAATGTGACAAAATAAACGTAAAAATTCGCAGTTTTAATAAGAAATGTCAGGTCTGACCTCTCTGATTATTTCGATCAATCGTGCTGCCGTACTAAGGAAAAACGCCGTATGAACCTCCAGGCGTTGCCAAATCATTAATTTTCAGGAAATTTTTTAATTATTTTTCTGCCAATTTCTCAGATAATTTTTTTTGTAATTTGACCTAAAGAGTCTGAAAATTTTGAAGAAAAATATTCAAAATTTTCCTCCGAAATAAACATTTTATAATAGGAAATTTGGCAATTCTCGAATGCTCATACGGCGTTCTTCCTTAGCATGGCAGTGCACGTAACCCTCCTGACATAAGGACGTAACTACATTTCGTGATGGACCCTGCCGTCCATAGAACTCAAGGTTTTCCCGGGCTCGTCACCAAATGTGCTTACGTCTTTTTGTCAGCCAAACGGCGATTCTTCTCAAAATCCGGAAACTGCGTCACCTCAACGTGCTTCACAATTTATTTTCTTCGACATTTAGCAATACGCATGCGGACGCATCACGTACCATTTGGCCTAGAATGTCCTGATACATGATATGTGACACGTTTTTCTTCAAACAATAATGTACACAAACATAATGACAAAAATAATGTAAACAATGAATACCTCATGCCGCGGAAACTGCGCACTACTACGTGGAAAAACTTTCTTGAAAGGAGAAAATGAATTACATGGGGGAAAAATCGATCATGCATTCATTATAAGAACCATCCGTGAAGGAGTATATATATATATTTAATATAAAATTAAATGTTACTCATTATTATCTTAATGCCGGACAGTTTTATGCACATTCAATAAAGCTATTCGCGTTATATTTAAAGTATGCTTATGCATGAAAAAAAAAAATAAGTAAATCCCCCAAAAATAACATGTTTGATTTTTTTTCGTCAAAAATATTTTTTTTCCTCCAAATTTCTGCTTCTGATTTAAAGATTTGCGATTCAGTTATACCAATGAAGACGCAATATAAAAGGCAATCTTTTAAAACTGCACCTTTTCATTTTAAAGGTGCACTTTGCATTTCAGTGAGCCTTTGAAGACCACTTCCAGCGGTAAGAGAAGCACAATAACAAATTATCGCGTGTTTAATTTGGAAGTATCTGTACTAAATGGAGCCATGTGCAAATGAATAAAATCAAAAGGAAGTATGTGGATAGAATTTTCGTGCTTAATGGTTCCTTTCGAATGATACATTGGTACGTGACTCCACTCAGCATAAATATGTCCGATGTTTACTCTGACGTGCTAAGGAAAACCGCCGTAAGAGCATTCGAGAGTTGCCAAATTTATCCGGTTTAAACGTGTATTTTGTAGGAAAGTTATGCTTATTTTTCCTTGAAATTTTCAGATATTTTAGATTAAATTGCGTTGATTAAATGTCTGAAAGATTTAAATAAAAATGTTAACAATTTTCCCGGTACATTCTTTATTTATTGAAGGAGATATGGCAACGTTTGAAGGCTCATACGGCGTTCTTCCTTAGCACGGCAGTACAGCAATGACGCATGCGGAAACTCCTACCTCACCAACGACCGTTGGTAATGCGTTTTTTTTTCACCTACCAATTATATACACTGTCGTCATTTTTTGCCGAAGAACTGGTTGAGTTAAAGTATTTAAGAGAAAAGAATGTTGAACCGCGCATGCCCTATGTCACTTTCCCACGAGGCAGAATTTAGCCGCAGATTAGAGCTCCGGTCGAAGTAGGGATAAAAAGGGCGAGAGAGAATTTCCCTATTTTCATTCAAACCCAGATACTTATTCTCACTCAAGGCATTTCCATTTGTCAGCGATTAAGAAGAAGGAAAAAAGTCGCTTGAATACAATGACCACGAGAATCGTTTATCTATTAAACCCGTCTTTCCTTATCACATTAGCGGGCGGTTGAATCCCTAAGAGTTGGCAAATGCGAATATGTAATAGAAAAGTGCAAGAACTCTCGTTTGTAATTTTCTTAGAAACTTAACCGAAATACCTTGCTATCAAAGTTCATTGTGAATATTAAAATCGGAGAAGAGAAATCAGAAAATTTCAAGGGAAAGTGTTGATCAGTTTTCTTTACAAAAGTCTTAAACAAGGGCAGCGATTTGCAATGCCTTCCACTTACGGTGGTACATTTTTTTAAACTTCAGGTATCGGCATCGTAGTTCTTTTTTTTTTTTTAAATGGAACCACACTTTGAAACAAGCACTTAAGTACCTCGATTCTAGGAAGACGTAGGGAATGTTTGAATTTTGGATATGAGGGTAGCTATTATTTCCATCAGCTCCCTTCCATTTTTGAAACCATACATACATACGAGTCGCTGTTATAGCGCTCTTTGGCGCTTTGCGACACCTAATCGCCACAAAGCTCGGTCTTCCCACAGGTTATCAGGGAGTTGACACTCCCTCATCTCACTTAACACCCCC